CGCAACATATTATAAAGAGTTGACTATAATGGAACGTAAAGATTTTTCTCCTTTATCAGATATAATAAGAGAATTAATTGATCAATGTCGAAATCGAGGAGCATATAAAAAACAAATTATCGATTGAATCAATTGAAAAATGAGTATTTATTATTACATGTTCAACAGGATATATGACATCAGGAAAAACGAATAACGGTTCTTTAGTAGGTTTTTTTGTATCATACGATATTTGACAAAATTTTAATTTTGGTAAAGAACCATTAATAAAAGACTGAAAAAATAGCATCAAATATTTATTTTATATCGTTTTTGTGAGTGCACAATCATCGAAGCGTGGTTAATTGGATTAATCTGGCACTAAGAAGACTTTCGATAGCTTTGTTTACTGAGGGCAAATTTATTTTGTTTATGTAAGTTCTGTTACGATGTTGTTTGTTGGAAGGATAAATATCTTATTCAGCACAATCATGTTGATTTATAGCAAATTATGAAGCATGATCGATTAGTAAATCTCTTGAGGAATGAAAACTCTATAATGATTAGGGTCACAACTCTCGATGTAGAGGGGGGGGGGGGAGCTAGTTCCCCACTTTTCTGGAGTATCTGCGAAACTTATAGCTGCGCTCAGATTTCTGACTAATGTATCAGAGAATGTTGGTAGATGGTTGTAGGTGTGGATGAATATGGGTGCAGGTGTGGATGAATATGGGTGCAGGTGTGGATGAATATGGGTGCAGGTGTGAGTGTGGATATTGTAGAACTGTAGATCAACACTCATACCAACGCTCCATACCTATACCGATCCACACCCACACCTACACCATCCTATAGTCTGCGTAGCAATGGTTTCGGTTGGAGTTCGTAGAGAAGACATTTCAAAGCTGGAAATGTTTCTTTATCTTCCTTCTAGTTGCCTGGTCACCTCACCTTGAGCATGGTCGAAACTGGTCGTGGTATGCTCTTCTAAATTTTTTCGTTACGGGTGGCATCTAAAGATTCTCGTCGGTGAAATGAGATGCTATAACATCAAGGTAGCTTTACAAACCCACACCCTCCTTTATTTTTGGAAAGAGATGTTTAAAGTCAGTTAACATTGCTTTCTTTTAGGAAAGTAAAGTAAATCTTCCCTCTAATTTAATTTACTTTCTGAAGGAAAAAAGGAAGTCAAAGAGCCATTCCTACAGCGAAGCCCAAACCCACGCTGTAATCCTAGTTTTTCTTCGAGTTGTAGAATATTTTTGATATCTAATCATTACGAAAAAATGTAGGTAACTCTTATCAAAAAAAACGGTATCTTGTTCAGGTAAGCGCAAGAGTGATATTTTGAAATAGCTATATCATAAAAAAAGAGAAACATTTTTCTTACTTCATTTCATAAAATCCACATTCTTTTATTTATCTTTATACTATATCACGACCGTTACTTGCAAGGCTCACGAAGCCTCACCATCTATTAAAATCTAATCCACGATTGTTAAGGTTTATTTGTTTTATTCTGTATACAAATATATATATATTATGGAAGAAAGCGATTATGTTCGGGGCGGTTTAGCTGAAAAAGCGCTGACACAAGCAAGGAGCATTCAAGAAAAAACTACTATTCTTGTCGAAGGGAAGACCTTCGTTGTTCATCCTAATGTGTTCAATCCAATCGTATATTCAGCAGCTCTTTGGTTTACACGTTCATTGCTTAAATTAGTTCAACAATTAAAACCTGAGCATATGTTAGAACTTGGCACAGGTGCTGGTTACAATGCAATTTTAGCTGCTTTGAATGGTGCTGCCTATGTTACGTGTACCGATATATCACAAGTAGCCGTAAAAAATGCACAGGAAAATATCGATAATCATCAATTGAGAGATCGTGTAATCACTATACGTAGCGACGTGTTTGCCTCACTACCATCAGAATACAGAAATAAATTCGATTTAATTTTCTGGAATCTACCATTTAATCATATCAACAAACCGATTAGTGAGTTAACTGATTTAGAACGATGTATATTCGATCCAGAACATGAAGCGATTGACAAATGTTTTCGTGATGTCAAACAATTTCTTGTACCAAATCGTGGTCGAGCATTTTTTGCTATTGCTCCCAGCATCGCCAATTTCGAACAGTATTCTGCCATTGCTCGAAAGCATAATTGGAAAACACACCTTGCTATTGAATATGAAACAATTACGGGTGACGATATTGGTTCCGGAGAAGTAGGCGCCGGAGCTCCACTTGCCATCTACGAAATCATTGCGATTGAAAGAAACTGAAATTTTAAATGTAATCTGCTGAAATATTGACTGATTTTTATCTTAAGAGACGGTCCATGAGAAAATCGAACATGGCCATACTCTCGAAAAATTTTTACTCCTATATTTTATGATAGGAAATGAAAGAACAAGCTGAGAAATCTATAAATCCAAAAGTTTAGCTCACTTTAGCTTACCTCTGAAAAGTTATGAAATATATATTGAAAGCACCCTGAACATGTTCTGTAACAAATTTGTTTATTCTCGCAAAATTTGGTAAGTCAGTGTTTGGCAAGGGGGAAAAGCGCGGCTTACTGTACTTCAGCGTACTCCCTGTACTCATCGGCTATAGCGAAGGTTTGTCTGCAAACTTTTGTGCTATTTCAACACTTCTAGTGCTCAGCGTTACGGTATAGTAATTGGAGTCTAGCCTGCATAGGCCGGTCAGACTTTAGAGTCCAAATATTTCGTTGTACTTCACCTTTACTCAAATTTGGGAGTACAATGAAGTATTTGGACTCTGACGTCTGACCGGTCTATGCAGGAGTTCATGGGGAATTTGAATTTGCGGCAAATTCAAAATGCTTATACCGCTATACCGCTATACCGGTATAGCGGTATAAGTATCCTTATACCGCTGTATCTCTATAGCTTCTTTAAAGACAAAGAAATCTCCTACCGAAGGGTACAGCCACCTTAAGAGTAGCCCTTCAAAGATACCACCTTCAGGGTACTTTTTCAAGGGCATCCTCAAGGGTACCCTCCTCACCCTCACTTTGTTGTTCCCCAAGGATACTTTCCTCATTCTCAAGATGCTTCTCTACCTCTATATAATGAATTTGCCGCAAATTCGAATTCCCCATCGTATGAATGTAAAATACAAATGTATTTTGTTATTATACAACTAAAACTGAAAGCGTTCGATATTTTGTTGAATATTATGAGAAAATGAGTTGCTCATTCAATTATATTACTTTTTATCTTCCAAACGGTACAGAAATACAATATACAACTGCAGAATATTATTATATTATTATTTCAATATTTTTTTAAACAATACCATATTTTCACACTAATTCTTTCATTAATGCCCAAGTCAACAACTGATATTATCTAATACAGACTCTTATTATAAAAGATTAATCGATGTGATACCATTATCAAAAAAGTGGCATATATACAATTCGTCGATGAAATGTAAAATAATTTTCCATGGAAAATGCACGATCTTACAAAAATAAGTCAAAACAATATTCAACAAGAGACAAGTACTCTACATTTTAATTATATCAATTCAAACTGATCTTAATTAACACTTAAATTTTACACAATACTTTAATATCAAAGATCATTAAGATTAAAAAACCTACCAATTTCACATGGAAAATATGGAATTTTGCCGCTATACTTGTAAAGGCCAAATTTCTCCATTTTTTGTTAAAGGTTATGAAACTCTTCAACAATTTGATTACTAATGTGATTTTATGAGCAGAAACTGTTGAATTGAATACTATCTTCTATATGAATAATATTTGATCAATTAAACATGAATGCTTGGAAATATTTTATCTTAAAATAAACTTATTCGACTTGACATCAATATGCTTAATAGATCTGCAACTATCTTACAATAAATACATTATTAAGTAAATCAAATTCCAAAAAAATTGCTTTTATCAACGGTAAAATTGTTTCGTATGAAAATGCTTTGTTTCATGATTTTTTCCAATTTTCTATGTGTAACAAGTTGATCCAATAACTAATTTTCAATATTTTACTTACAACAATTATCAAGTAGGAGATGATTCTGTACTCTTGCCATATTAAATTATATGTAGTTACTAAAGCATTGGATATATCATATGTTCATTAATTAACTAAAATTTATCAAGATATATTATAGAACATATTAATCAGGCAATGCATGCTGTAGACCTTTAATTGTTAAGCCTCCCCTTCCTCAAAAAAAGTCAATTTTCGTCAAAAATTCAGAAATTGAGATAAATACATGGAAGATAGCCCGTCTTTTGCTCTTTCAGAAACTCTATAGGTTTTTATCCAAAACCCCTTTTTTGACTGAAAATTCTGATGGTTTCTGTAAATCTCTGCCGGAAAAATACCTTTTTTCCTGAAAAAAAAAACGAATTTCAAGGTTTTTTCTGTAGAAAGTAAATATTTTGATAGATTTTTAAAATATTTTAATAATTTTTATAGAAAAATCAAATCTCTAACAGTAAAATATAAGAATAAGCTAACTGATACAAATGAGGAAAGCTTTATTAAAAAACCTTTAATACGAAAAATTTTACAACAAAAAAGCTTTATAAAAAGTTACATATTGTTCTTCTATCCATGTTCTTTTATCTTTGGGATTATAATAACCATAATCATCATCTAATGACTGATCATTACTAGATATTGTATCATTATCATCAGTAACATGTTCGTCACTATCAGTTGTTGTATCATTGTCCTCAGATGATGCTTCGGTCACAGGATTTGTATCATTATAATCATCATCTATTTGATCAACACGATTAATTATTGTATCATTGTTCTCTTCTTCATCATCATTTTGAATCAAAACACGAGCAGCTGCTTTTCTTCTTTTTCTGTTGTTTTCTTTTGTTTCTGTATGCAGTCGATTGTTGTCAAAATGTATCATTGATTGATCAGTATAATAACCACGATAACCATACATGACATTGAAAATATCTCCTGTGAAAATATAAAACAAATATTTATGTGGAAAAATATATCAAAAAGCTCAATTATGATTTGAAATAGTTTGTGAAGTTATTTGTATAATCATATCTAACGCAAAATATCCATCGTTAAATATTATTATTGCAAGACAACATGCAATTTCGAAAGTTGTCCCAGATGAAGCCTTGTGTTTTGGTGACCTAAGCCAAACAAGCGAATGAAAACCTTTCATTTGGATTTTGAGTTGAAGCATTCAACACACGTGCAAGACTTTTCCGTGAACAAAGATTGTTAAAAATAGGTTTAATTGCATCAAGTACAGGACGAGATAAAGCATGTGACGTATGATCATATGGAATTTTATCACGAAGAGATTTCAAATAGCTACATCAATCGATACTGCAATAATCATGATGAGGATCATCATTGGTCGAGTATTTGTGCCAAAATATTGCCCAAGATCCTTTAAATAATAAATCCAGATCATGCTTTGATTTTCGAATGGTGAAGGGAAATGCCATTTGTAATCGAAGTATATTATGAACTAAAATTAAAAAGAAATATCCAAATTTTCGATTTTGTTTTGTTTCGAAATCTTCTCATGAATTAGAAAGACTCATCAGATAGACAATTTTTACCACCAATTGTTTTACCGCCAGATAATTTTTTTCGTCCATGTTCACGTTTTACTGTTTCTAATCCTCGTTTCATTCTTTTGCTAAAATGATTCAAGTCTTCGATTTTTTTAATTCTTTTCCTAAAGTTGCAGACCAGTTAGAGCATACTTTAATTTATAAAAAAAAATTTCTCAGATCAAATATATATATATTATATCTGGATATGGTACGATTTTTGAAAGCACTGGAAAGGTTTTTGAATCACCATCACCAACGTACTTAGTATAGTAAACTCCATATTTTGAAACTGATCGTTTGAACATAGTAAAAATAGCAACAGATTCCATTGTACCAGAACTTTTTTCATAATTTTTTTCACATCGATGCGATCTAATAATATTATCATATTTAGCTGGATTGGATTTTTTAATAGAAAGTGCACCTAAAAACAGAGTATCCAATCAAGAAAAAGAAAAAAGAGACTTACCCATGCAAGTATTGCATGTTTTACTGCATGTTTCTATATCCAGTACTTTTGGTGTTGTATTACAAGATAAAAGAGCAGCTGCACCATGTCTGCTTTGGAAACCTCGAGTCTGTCAGAATCCATCTCCAGTAACCATTAATTCTGTACCATTTTCAGCAGCTACAGTTTTCTCTACTGCTTTCTTCATTGATCCTCCTGTGAATAATTTGACCATAATTAGTAAATCTCTATCCCATTTTGAATATCTTTCATCTTGAATGGGACTTGATAAATTCATAGCACCCATCAATTTCACTAATCCAGCATGTCTGATACCACATAAATGGCCACCTATTTATGATCTTACGTTGATGTCTCGGCAATCTGATGCAGCAATCTTCGAACTTGTTTCTAAAAATAAATTGAAAAAACTTTTGAATACATCAATAAAACGCAGAGAGCTTCGATAGTTAGAAATATTTCACTTGCCAATGGTGATGGTATTTTGACATATTGAACATCGAAAAGATAATATCAGGAATAAACCTTCGCGTTTGTTGATGTTCATCATTCCACTCCACCGATTTCCACAACCTTCACAATTTGTGTTACACATAAGAGAGAATAATGCTTGATTTTGTATTATTGAGTATCCATCCATAGGTAAGTTGGAATCTGACTTTGACAATGTCAATGTTATATTCAACTTCATTTTTTTTGTAATCTTCTGTTGTGATGGTAAAGATGAACGTGTTGAAGATGTAATTAGATTCGATGCTGTAGTTTGTGTTGCTGATATGTTATTCGATTGTAAGGATGATGTTTCTCTTCGTTTATTTTTGAACCATCCGCATCGATGCTTTTCGTCTACTGCATCTAGTAGTAAATTTTTCTTTTCTTTTAATAAGAATAATAACGAAATAAAATTTTTTTCATGCTACATAGCATTAATTACAACACTCAATAATTTCAGATAGAGAATCGTTCTACAGACTAATTATATGAAAATAAAAAATTGTTTGATATCACATACCGTTTTACGTTCTTTTTATTGAATATGACGTTTCAATTGATAATTCTTGAAAGCAAACTGTGATAATAAATCACATATAGAATCTAAAAAGCTTATTTATAAAATCAAAATCTGGAGTCGTTTATTTATTTTTTGAACACACACTAATATCATCGTATATTGACAAAAGAGACAAACACAGGTGGTACACGTTCTTATATGTTTAGGACACGACCTCAAATTAGAGAACACGAAAAAAAAATTTCAAGAGCGAAGAAAAGCAAAACAAAGAAAAGGCATCGCAAACGATGTGTTCTAGTGTGATCGATACATTTTATAAGAATTAGTCATTATTTACACTATTTTTATCTTTTCTTTCTTTCTCTCTGATAACAATGACACATCATAAATGCTGGTTTATTACATAGCAATACAATGTACTTGTAATAAGTATCCTTGTCAGTAAACAAAAAAGAATGAGACAATGTATAGTTAATGTTAGCAGTACTTTTTCGAGCAAGCCGACCATGAAACTGTCGGTACAAGTAAAATCATTTTTTTAATGATGTTTAACATGCCATACAAGGTTCTAGTTATGCAAAATTGAAAATTATATAAATAATGTTAGTCAGTTTCTTTAAATAAACGAAATAAATTGCTAAAAATGATAAAATATTGAAAAAATTTTTCGCAAAAATCTTTTTCGTTTTTTCTCAGTTTCCACTTTCTCAAAAGGGCATCCCAAATTTCTCCTTCCCAGTTCAATCAATGTATTAATATTTTTTATTTGTTTGAAAGAGCATCTCAAGGCGCAGGGCATGACGTGGCTCTTTTTTTAAATTAAGCCTTTGTTTGGTCAATATACAGCCAGTTATATGATTTTGCTACCATTTTTTGACACTTTTTTGAGTCATTGAACTTGTGATCCATTTTTTGCGCCTAAAAATGAACTATTTCAAAAAAAGGGTCACGCCATACCATGCGTCTTGCGATGCTCTTTCCAACAAAAAAAAATATTAATATTTTGAACGAATCAGGACCGAGAAATTTGGGATGCCAAATGAGTCATTTTTGACCCTTGCCTGGCTCATATTTCCCTGAAACCTGAAGATTTCGGGCTGAAAATTTTATGGTAGTCTCCTCCTTCTAGCCCCAACATATTCTGAAAGTTCTATCTAACTTGGATGTTCCTGGGCTGAGGTCGATTTTTGAAGGAGGAGGATGCTTAAAGCAACATTTAATTAAATCAATGATTATCATTAAATAAGATGCATTAATATTAATTAATAGTTATTTTTCAAAAACAACCAGTATTTACTAAATTCTTACACCATTAACTCACAAAAAAATAGTTTAAACCTGATAGAATGGCTGTTTAACTCAAGGTTAAGCTACAACTATGAAATTATAAATAGATTTAAATTCAGATGAATCACCTGAATGCTCATATGAATTATTCTTGCCAGCTAGTCACCGCAAACCTATGAAATTATTATAATTTTCTCAATAAGCCACCCATTAATCAAGAAATTTCAATTAATTTAAATAATTTGGTTTAAACACAATTTCCAAATATTTTTATTTTTGTGTTTATTTTTATTCTCATTTCTAGCCGACCTTTATTTTTATTTTCCATTTTACTTGTCGGTGTTTTTCTTTTTAATTATGCTTATATATATAGTGCAGAGCCCTAAGAAGTGTTTTATTATCAAATAAACAACACGAAATGTGTCGACGAAGTTCACTCTGCATTTTCTTATTACTCTTTTATTAACCACATTAACATAAATATATATTTCAATTTATTTCGACAAGATATCGATTGTTGAAAAGTAACAGTGGCGACCAGAAGATTAAACTCATCTGCTTCGTCAAGAGATAGGTCGGTCAGTTTTCGATTGATTAACCCACACCTTATACCTATGTTGAGAACTATAGAAACAAAACTCGTAAGATCTAAAGATAGCTTTCGGATAAATAATCATGCTATAGAGTATTCTTGGACAATCAATCATGAAGCTTACCGAAGAATTAACTATTTTTTAATGTCTTTCTTTCTTTCTTTCTTTTTGCTAAGCTGTGTATCGTACTGTGACCTTCAACTTACACCAAAAGGTAAGGTTATGCTTCATAATAATAATAGCAATAATAATAATATTCCGTTCTTTCTTCGCCTTGTCTCTATTTCATGCTATTACCGTTTACCTTGCTTATTTGTCTCTTTCCCAATCACAGGAAGAAAAAATGTGCGTTCTCATATCATACTTTACTTCGTTCTCTCTTCTGCTGGTCTTTTTCTATGTGTTTACAATTTATCTTGCTCATTTCTTTCTTCTTAGTTCTAATCAAGCGAAGTTATTTGAGCGTTACAATTGGCCACGTGTGTTTTGCTTCTGCTTGCCTTGATATGATTACATGAAGGCTATTGTCTGTCTCTCTTATTACTCAAATAAATGAATGCAACTGTGTTCTATAGTATAGTGTACGCTGTGTACCGTTGCTGTCTGTACGTATTATTCAATATCTTGTTTGCATTTTTTTACGGTAGCCTAGAAGTAGCACTCTAATTCGAGCTGGAATATAAATTGAAATTTCAAAAAGAAGCTAAGCGTATAAATGCTCTCAGCTGAAGTTTCAGTTTTAGTTCATCACATGTTAAATTAATATATATGAATATATGTATAAATACAAAGGCACTATTCTGTAGAAATAGTAATAGATTTAGTTTTAGTCTTAGTTTTAGTTTAAGATATATATATATATATACGTCGCAGTTGACATGAGAATTCGGTTAAGTTTGAAATGCATGCTGATAGCATGAGTCATGAGATAATCAACGTTTGTTCACTACTGTGCTCAACTTTTGTAATGATAGTAATTGTATATTATTGGTCGAGTTTTTATGATTTAGTTGACATTATTTTAAAATACTTGCATATAAATAATTTTATTTTTAACAATTATTTGATAATAAATATTAGAATTTTATGATATTTATTCATCTCTTCAAAATTAATTGATTGATGTCCGTTGCTATAAAAACATCAAATCAAGAAACACATTCTATGTTTCTTTGTTTTTAATTACATAAATTATTTATTTTTTTTTCGTGTGAATTTGCTCTCAAAAACATGAATGCTTCTTATTCTAAAGTTCAATCTTACATTAATAAAGTTCCTGACAATAAGCGTATCAAGTAGATAATCAACAATCTAAATATACTCCCATTATTAATCAATCAATGGAAAAACACATCAGCCATTATTGCAAACATTATCAATCGTTCAACTCAAATTTTAACAACAAACTTAGCAATACTAATAATTTAACCAATTATTCAATGTCGCCATGTCCCCAAGCTCGAAAAATAATCAAATATTCAATAAATATAAGTAGCGAATTTGCTAACGAAAAAATTAAGCCAACCATTCAAGGTCCTCATGCCCCAGTGCTCAAAAAAATAAAAAAATTCAAGAATACGAATAACTTTTTCACTATTGATTTAGATTCAACAAATCATTCAATGTCCCCATGTCCCGCTGCTCGAAAACAAAATTCGAATATTTGAGAAATACAAAATTAACAACAAACTATTTAGAGTCAGTTTTGCCCCAAC